GTAAGCAACTGTGTTAGTTCTGACTCTGTACCAGTGCAAAAAGACCTCCTTTTTAGTTGTAGTTAAAGTTAGCAAAAGCTTTCAAACATTTTCTGACTTCCATACGAAATCCAGGATAATGGCATTGCCAATGGTTTGTGAACAGTTTTGGTGATAATCCTGAATGCCCTTGCATTTATGGGGATTAAATCAGACCTCAAATAATACTGGAACATAACTCTGGTGGTCTAATCACCTAATTATGCCACTTCAACAGTGATACATTTTTACTATTTACAGAAGAGGCCACAAAACTGTTTGCAGATGTTAACTTTTGATTATTTTAATTCTAGCATTAAATAATGTAGCAAAATAGCTCTTAAATGTCTTCCGTGGGTGTATTTTCTGTCCTTATGATATTCCCTGAGTAATGTTTTAACAATTGCTTTAATCTGGACATACTCCTCCATATGAACAGCCCTTAAATCACAAACTATAGTAAAATTCTGCTGAAAATTAAATAAATAGAGAATTGGTAGACCTTAATTAACCAATAAGAAAAGTTTATGAGGGGCGGATTGATTAAATATCAAAGCTTCTGACTTATATTATCTTTCATAAACTGGCTTTTCTCCAATTAGTGTAGGCTTCCAAGACCAGGGGATCAAGATGAAAGGATCTGCAACAAAACTGATTACTGCTGAAACAAAATGGAAGTTGCTGCTTTTGATAAAATACAAGGCTATGGCAGTACTTGAATAATTTTGTGGGAAGTTGCTGCCTAAGGCATATGTTTTACTGTCTGATACTGAATGCATGAGGAACGACCATCTGTTTTTTTCAGCCTGAACAATTATACGATCCAGATTGAACCACTAGAGGCCAAATATAATTGCTCTGTGTTTTGCTTTGTGCTACTCTCTACCTACAGCAGTATCCTCTTGTACAGTGTGTATCATAGCGCACAGCTCAAATGATGGCATGTGAAAATACTTTTTCTTCTATTCAGGCTTATAGAATTGCTATCCAGGGCTTAATGCAATCCACCACACTTCATCTGTGGGTGGATATCTGTTCATGATAGGAAAGAAGAGCTTCTGAGAAACTTTGACCACTTGAGATGTTTGAACCTTAGGAATTTTTTTTGCTGGATAGATCTTAGTTGAACATCCAGCTAAGTGAAAGGTGGTGCTGCATCCTTCGTGCCTTCAGCTGTAGCTGGGGAAAAAGAAGAGGTGCTTTCATTGCACAGCCTGAGTTAACAGATTGCATTAAAAAAGATAGTAAATCCTGACTATTAGTGTACTTTGAAGGAAAGCACCTATATATAAATTAATGAAAACATTCCAGTTTTGTTGCAACTGCTGTGTTTTACAACACCAAAAAGTATGCTTTTAGTTTTGCCAGGCTAATAGGACTGGGTTTCTCCCCTTCCCAAAAGTGCTTATAGTCTAATTTTAGACATAATTTTCTGAGTGGCAATAAAAAAAGTGTTAAGTGTTGGAGGGAGGAATGAGGAATAGAGGGGCAAGATTTGAATGTGTGGATGGATAAATGCCAATATTTTTCCTTTGTCCTTTAATAATAGTAATTAATAACAATGCTCTATTCCTTTTAGAGTTTCCGGAAAAACTGAGAACAAAAGTTATAGAACTTTGGAAAAATTTCTTTCCAAGACTATTCTTATGTGTTGCTGTGAGGATTGTTTCTGCTTTGCATGAATAACCTCAGAACCATGTCTGCCAGGTGCTGATCTACACTGCACCTGGCTTTCCTGAATATTTGTCTTTATTTTGATTAATATGCTGGTTAACTGTACTCATTCCTGACTCAGTTTTTCTGTCTATTGAGAATTAACACTGCCCACAGTGATGTTCTAAATCACAGTTCTGATGAACTGTGGCAGAGCAAGTGGTGGGTGATCGGAGTATGGTTTTGTGACTGCAAGACTGGGATACGACTTAAAAGATTCAGGTTTATTCCACATATAAAGACTTTCTGTGTAGCCTTTGGCAAATCCCTTACCTTTACTGTGCTCTCCAACTGTGATATGGGAACAAGGAACTTTCTTTCTTCCTACTGTGTCTGTTTTCTATAATTATGCTGTAAGAGATCTCTTCCAAGTCAAAACTTGTATTGTGTGTTTGGACAAGACCCAGTACAACTGGGCTTCCAATTTAGTTGGTATTGTAGGAATAGAACCAGATAAGAGCAATTTTTAGTACCTAAACACAAAGGAAGTAAGAAAATATCATTTTAATTGATTTGGGTCTAAAGAAATTCAGCAAAAGGAAATTATATTCTTTTAACATAAATTCTTAGTCACTTCTTAATTTTTTTTCCCCTCTGTGAAAGCCTTAATGAGGAAAAACCACATTTACGTCTATGTCAGTAGCATGTAGTTATAGGGGAGTTAAGATGGATTTTTGTCACTTTTCATAGAATCATAGAATTGGATGATTTGGGTTGGAAGGGACTTTAAAGATCATCTAATTTCAACGCCCTGCTATGGGCAGAGAACCTTTTGCTAGATCAGGTTATTCAGAACCCTATCTAGCCTGGCCTTGAACACTTTCAGGGGAGCAGAGTCTACAACCTCTCCAGGCAATCTGTTCCAGTGCCTCACCATCCTCATAGTAAAGAATTCCCTCTTTCAGCTCAAAGCTTCCCCCCTTGTCCTATTACTACATGCCATTCTAAAAAGTCCCTCTCCAGCTCTCTTGTAGGCCCCATTATATACTGGAAGGCTGCTACAATGAGCCTTCTTTTCTGAGGGGAGGGCTGAACAACCCCAACTCTCTCAGCTTGTGCTCGTAGTAGAGTTGGTCCAGCCCTGTGATCAACTTCGTGCTCTCCTCTGGGAAAGGAAACATTCCAATAGGCCATCACCTTTCTTATATTGAGGCCTCAGAGCTGTATGCAGCTCTCCAGTTGGGGTCTCACAAGAGCAGAGCAGAGGGGCAGAATCAGCTCCCTTGACCTCTGGTCACACTTCTTTTGATGCAGCCCAAGATGTAGTTGACTTTCTGGGCCATGAGCATGCATTGCCAAGTCACGTTGAGCTTTTTGACTAAAAACACTCCCAAACCTTTCTCTCTAGGATTGCTCTTGATCCATTCTCCGCCCAGCCTGTACTTGTGCTTGGGATTGCATGAGTCTTGAATGAGTCTTTTATGGAACCTTGAAGCATGTGCTGATCTTCACCTTTCTGTAGTCTAGAAGATAAGACTGGACTGGACAAGGGGGTGTGACAGATATGCACTTTACACTCGTGGATACTACATTTATTTACAGTCCTTAATAGAACTTATATGCAAGCTCCTACCATACTTGATTTTCAGAATAGAACTTCTCCCCAGCAGTGAAGTAATACGCTGCAAAAATGTGCCACCAATGTCTTATTGCATTGCACATTGAGATTTTCTATAGAAACTCTGAAGACTGGACTTACATTTTTATCTAATGTATTGGATGTATTACAGCACTACTATTTTACAGCACTATGGCAAGTCCATATGTTATATGAGTAAAAGTAATTGCAGCTCCTGAGGCACAAGTGGGCACAGATGCCATAATATATTAATGTTTGTATCCAGTAGTTGCAAACATAGAATTATTTAGGCTGAAAAAGGTCTCTTTGAGTCATCCAGTCCAACTTCCTCCTCAAATCAGAGTTTACCTCAAAGTCAGACCATGACTTTTTCAGCCAAGTTCTGCAGTCTTCAGGGACAGAAGTTTCACAGTGTGATGTGTTGACCCTGACCTCAGTGCCCACCAAAGCAGCTCTATCATTCCCCATCCTCAGCTGGACATAGGAGAGAAAGTATAACAAAAGGCTCATGGGTCAGGATAAGGGCAGGGAGGGATATGTATCTGTATTAATTACAATGCCTATTCATGCTGGATTAGAGCATCTGCTAATGAGTCCCAGAAATTTAGACAAAAGTCAAAGACCTGCATGACTGACAAGTGTTTTAAGAAGGAAGTTAGCAAAACTTCGGTAGAATCAATTATTACTCGCTACTGATTAGTCAGTTCGTGATATTGTGGGTGAAATGAACCTCTTTCCTCATCCAGTTCATAGATGGTTTCACTAGCACAGTGGTATTGTTGGTGGTGAAGGAGTACAAGCGGAAAGGATAATCCTTACCATCAACAGTATAGTTCTCAGAGCAACACCAGTTCTGCAGGCTCATGTCCGAAAATACCACACGTGCTGCAAGCTATTATGATTGGACATGAGATACGCAAGAATTTCTGCAGTGATACCAATTTTTTGCATTGTCACAAAAAGATTTAGCAACATGGTGGGTTTTCTTGCCTGCGTGTATTCATTAGTATCATGAAGCATACAGGCTCATATGAACTCAAAATTTGTGGTCAAGGTTTCCTGATCGTAATTGCATGGCTTGTGTAAGACTTTCTTAATTGTTCTTACTGCTTCAACAGATTCTGTGACATTAAATTTGTTCCCAGAATGGAGCCTGTTCATTTAGGAAAATGATGCCATAGCTCTACCACTCAGCTTCTGGTAGTTTGTACATGAAATCTGTTGTTTAGAAGGAAGGAATTTCATATGGACAGATAGGTGCAATATGTAACCTAACTCTTTGGTAAGCTTGTGCAGCAGATATTTCTGGTCAGTTGTAGGAGAAATTATTTTTCAGACCAGGAAGAGGCCTCTCCCATTGAAGATCTTTAGAGACACTAAGGGTATCTGGACTGCATAAAGGTACAGGATTGTGATAGCAAAAGTAACATCTCTATAGTGGTCATTTCTCCAAGAAAACCACATGCTTGTTTTGTTAATTCTAGGAGTGCTGCGTGGAAGCATGTAGATTTAGTAAAGGGTTATTCTAATTGTCTTTAATGAATTAGGTTGAGTAGCGGTTCAATTCCCCTCTATTAATGAAGACTGTTCATTGACAGTCTTCTATTGATGTTGGTGAGGGAGGATCAGTATAGATACTGGGTCAGATTCTGAAAAGTATTAACAAATATTAATATTCTTTCTTTTTCAGTTTTCTCCTTGTGTTTGGTTGCTTGATTTTGTCCGTGTTTTCTACTATTCCTGAACACACAAAACTTGCCTCTGGTTGTCTCTTCATTTTGGTAAGTGAAAATTCTAAGTATAAGACAGTTTTGTAGATACTTTTATATATATTCAAATCCTCCATGGAAAAAATAATATAACACCTGAACACTTATAAAAAAAATCAAACTTTTCATCAGAATAATGAAAAAATGACAAAATAGAGGATTCTGCCATTTTTTCTTTAAAAACAGGTCAGATTTTATGGCAGTGCTAATAATTTACTGTATTGCATCCCCTTCTTCCCTTGAGAATTGCTGTGGTTTATAACTGATAGTTTTCCTACTGCAGTTAGGCATTGAGCGAGCATGAAAGACCTTTGATATTGCTACTGCCATTTATAAAGTCAGTGTGTAGTAAGAGGCACTTATACTTAAAATAGGCAATAATTTTGGTATCTTAGATACCAATTTCTGCTAGCTATTGGTAGATACTGACATTTTAGTGGCATTTGCTGCAGTAGGATGGGAAAGTTTCATTATTTCTTCATAATACAGGCTTTTCTATTATGTTTATCTCTCCTTTTTCCCTTTTGAGGTACATATAACTGGCTTTAGTCCCTAAAAGTGCTTAACATTTTTCATGCATTGTATGGACGGCACTTTATTCATCTGCTTCTTGATGGGCCATTTAGTTCTGCAAGGTGGTAGTGATCATTAAAATGTCACTATATACCCAGAGTTACCATGGTTATTTCAGTTCCGTGTATGCAGCAGACTGTGACTTATTAGGTAGTGCCTGAGGTGGAGTAACTGTTGACAAATGCCAACATTTTTAATTGTCACCACTGCATATTTCCAAAAGCCCTGGTCTTCAGAACAGCTCCCTAATTAATTATGGCGTGAGCAGGCTGATAAGCATCATTATGGTGTATGCCATGTCTCTACAACACAAAGGGCCACTGTATCAAGAACTAAATGTCCAGAGGTGCAGATATGTGGTGTTCTGCTCCATTGGATGGTTTCTTAGCAGGGCTAATTAGAGAGAGCCATGTTAAATGTTACATTTTTCTTCCTAGCCATACTAGCACTTTTTCTTTCTCTGAAGAAAAGATCAGGTGACATCAAACCAGCCAAAAGTGATCAGATTTAATCGTACACTAATACCTTGACTCATTATTTACAGAACTGAACAACACTTGGCAAATGTAAGTTTGTTTGAATGTTCTGCAGCTAGTTGTATTATTGTAGGTGATACAATAATTGCTAAGGAGTTTTTTAAAGGAAACAGGAAAATTTGATTAGCCTGAAAATACCATATTTGTAATAGCAGGTGCTTTTGTGACAAGTAATCCATTTGCCTGTATACCCATGCACACTGGTTGCAGAAATGCCATTTGTTCTGACATAAAATATGCATTTCCCATGAGCCACATATTTGTTGATTGTGTTGGGACACTCACCACAGCTAATTTCTCAGCTGGCTGATGAAAAGATTCCCTGTGTTTTGCCATGGGTCTCACAGGAATCAGCATGTGGCAGAGTTCTGTGAAGTCCTGGTTTTGCTCCCAGTCTGGGCAGAGGTGTGGTGATCTCTGCTTGCTGATACACCAGTTCTTGTGGAGATGTCCATCAGCAGAGTGGAGCTGCTGTGTCTGCTGTGGGAATCTCCAGTGCTTTTTGCTGTTATGGTTTCAAAGATAAACTTAGTCCATCTTAACAGTTGTGACTGTGCAGCTGATGGTATCCTCTGAATACAGAACTGGCCTCAGTGAGGAAGAGGATACATGGTTAATCCTTGAAACATCAATACTAGCCTGGTCCAACATTTCTATGCTATAGCCTGGTGTGTTCAGCAAACCCTTGGCAGGAATAACCTAGTGCTGACGAATTTTGCATCTCCTGCTGTGGGTCTCTAATGGAGAAAAATATAAACACAGCAAAGGATGGAATTCCAGAAGCAGGCTAAAGCTGACTGGTTCTTTGCAGTTTGCTGATGCATGACTTGTTCCTTCTCTGCATACTGCAGGTGATATTAGCAATGTTATCAAAGCAGGCTTTTGCAGGTGCAAACCAAGAGGAAAATACATCCCTCCGTTCAGGAACAGTTGTTTTGGCTGTGCCAATATTTGAGTTTTCACAACCTTTTCCTTGCAGTGATTCACATGATTCTTACAAATCATTTAGTAAGACAGCTGTATTAACTATCAGATCTGGTTTAATACTGGTTTTGCTTCATGCTTAAGATGGAAGATGTATGTTTATTTTCTAATGAAGTACTGTACAAATACAACAATCCATAGAGCTGCCTGCTGGGTTTCTGTGAACTGTTTGCTTTGCAGATTTATTCCAGATGGTCCACCCTACAGCCATGTTAATTGGCTAAAAAGCTAATGTAATGTTCCTTCAGTTTAATACCTGAGCTGCTGTTTGTGCTGTCACCTGTGGCTTTTGACATATTGCAGCTATTCAGGTACACAGGGAGGTTAAAGAAGGAAGTGCAGATGAGGTGAGAAAACCTTTCCCTTTTTCTGAGAAAGGCCAGAGGAGCTGAGGTGGTTATTCTTCTGCAGTCAGAGAATTCCATTAATTTGCCCCAGCCTCACCTTATAGGGGAGCAGAAAACATATCTCCTAATCACTGCATCCTAAATACCCTCTCAGAAAGGTACAACGGGTTATATGTTAGCTCAAAGTAAATAATTATTTAGGAAAGCAGTAACAGAGGAGGGCTTCTGATAAATGCCTGAACTCTGCTTCCAGAGCAGAGGCAAACCTGCCCTGCTGCACTGTGTCAGACCCAGCCAGGGCTTCAGCTCTGGCATCCACACAAGTACTACTGTGTTCCGAGGCATCTTCTCCTTATCAGGGGGCCTGTCAAGGGAAACGCCTTTAATATTTGAATTTTAATCTTAAAATGAAAGTCCTGCAGATAGGTTAAGCACATGTTACAGGCCCTGAAGTTGGATTCTTACATCAGTAATTAATTTGGTTAGATTTGTGTCCAGAGATAGTAAGACTAACCAGGAGGAGAGCATCAGATAAAACTCCTTATACCTAGAATGATAATTATGCTTTAGCCTCTTCTGTGCACACAACTTATGGCACTCAGGCTGTAGCAGTGATACATCCCAGACAGGCAGTAGAATAAAATCTACTTCAGCATCAAAAATAAACCACAAGCAGCTTAAGAATCCAACTAACACAGCAAGAAAATAATCTTTGGTGTATTGCTGATCTACAAGTACATTTACTGGCACTTTATCAAATAATAAACACAAGAGAAGTAAAACTGAGGCTGGAAAGGCAAAATCAAATCTTTTGGGGAAGATAGCCAAGAAGGAATATTATCTGGAACTGGAGGTCATTCACTGTCTTGACCAAACTCTCTACATTTTAAGTTTTTTAACTAAAGCTGAAAGTTATGTGAAATTCTGGTTTGCTTCTGTTTTTTTACTGTCATTTCAACAAAATAAATAAAGTAATTTGAGTTGACCCATGAAGCTCTGACAATCTGAGACGTAAAAACTAAGGTCTTGGATCAGTTAAATGCTTCATTTGAACTGGCATAAAATATGATTTGTATATTTGATTATTTGAGAACTTCTGACTAAAAGTAAGATTGAGGCTGCAGGAAAAAAATGTAATTTTTATTTGAAGTGACAAAGCACCCCATTCTTTTCATAATTTTCATTTTTAGTCAAGATGGAGAGATTGAAAAACACAGGTGAATTTCTTCAGGACTGGTTTTATCAAATCTGTTTTCTGTTTTTCTCTAAAAATGGCTAAGGCAGAAAGCCCAATTTTGTAGGATAAGGACCTCCAAAAATGTACTCTAGGAACACAGTCTTCAGGCAGAACTAGCTCCCAGATATGAAAGCAGACAGCATGCATAGGATGAAGCTGGTTTCTGCGTGTACTGTGGTCACTCACGTGAATGCAAAAGGAGAGTCTACTAAGTGCTTCTAGCAATTATTATCTTTCTAGTATTTATTTTTTTCTTCCAACATTTTGGCAAGAAAAAAAAAGTAGAAAAAGGATGTGCTTTGATTTAAAACATAGGATATAGCTGCCCCATAACAGGCAAGCACACATTCAGTTTTTCTCTGCTCTAGAAGAGTAAATCCACCCACAGGAATGTAATTGTATAAATCCACTACAAAATTTTAAAGCTGAGCAGAGTTTATTTAAAAAAGGCACCGTGTTCAATTCAAAAAAAAGTGGCATTTTTTCAGTTTAGATTGTACCAAAACTTGAATCCTCTTGCCATGCTTGGATGAAAGACTACCAGACCTGATACAGGACTAAAGGGATGACTCTGTAGGACCAGCTATCAAGGCCTTAAAAGAAAAACTGAATGATATTGAAAGATTTCAATTATAGATACATTTCTTAAAAAGGTGGGGTATAGACCATGTTATTGCAGTTTTGTTGAGTGTTCTTCTGAGAGAAACAGATTAACTGATCCCTGCGCCAAAAAAAAAGTGAGTTTGTCAAAACTCAAAATTAGTATTTCTTAAGGAAGACTAATTTCCAATGTTTTCTTTCCCAAATTGAACCACAGCTTTGAAATTTCAAAATTCTTCATAGAAATCTCTGGAAAATTACATTAGACATACAACACTGATCAGAGACAGAATAAGAGAGGGAATTACAATGTTGATAACATCAACACCTTCATGTTTTCAGTCCTGTTTAGATTCCAAAACACTGATATTACAATAAGGTGATAATGTGAGTAAAAAACAATTTAACCATATCATAATAAACCAGCTGTTAGCTTTGAAAATTATCTTACCTTATAATATATAAAATATTGTGATAAAATATTATTATAATAATATTTATATGTTATATTCTAATATTATAGCATATTATAAATATTTTCATGCCTTTGCTGATTAAATTGATACTCTCCTTTTATGTATACTGATTTCACCAAATGAGAGCTTGTGTTGTTATAAAAATTTGGAGCTGATCTCATTAGAACTGCTTGTGAATCTGTGTGCAAACAGAACAGACTTCCCACTGGAATTTAGATGCTGGATGCACTTAAAAGTTATTAGAAGGAAATCTGACAGG